GCGGTGCAAGCCTCCAACTAAGGACCACCTGCCCCTCAAGACCGCTTTCTCTGGCCCCAAGGGGTGGCCGTTTAGTCACAGGCTCCACCGCACATGCATCTCTTGCGGGTCAACCCTGACCACCTTCCGGTGACCTGGAGCTGCCGTCCAGGCCCCTTCCTGGTGGCCAGATCCTGTGTCAGCTTGAGGGGGTCTACCAAGGGAATTGCCATGAAGGACTGCTAGGCTTTCCCCTGATTGGTAGGTCCTGCTGGTGCTGGGCACTACTGAATACGCCGTCACAACTTTTCCGCTTCCACGGGTGGTGTTCGCACGAGGGGGATACCTGGGTGCCCCCGCAGAGCCGACAACAGAGCCAAAGGGTTGGCGCGTTGTGTACAATTATTAGTTTCTCAGTTATTCTTGTATTTTGCCTCTTAGATCGATGACGGCTTCCCGCCCGCCGATCGTCCAAAAAAATATGGGGTGAGGCCCCTATCCTGCAACAGGCGATACATGTGGCCGGGAGTATGCGCTAGAGGCCAGTCAGGACCTGCTGGGTGCCCGAGCTACGGTGCTAACAAGCAAATGCGAACAAGCAAGCTCGAAAGGAGATCTTCGGTTGCACTCCCCATCTCAGCTGCAAACAAACCACGCTCCGAGGGAGAGCTGCCCCTGCATTTTGCAAGCCTAGCTGTAAATATACAAAGCTCCAAGGGGAAATGCCCCTGCATTTTGCAAACATAGCTGTACACATCCAATGCTCCCAGGGGAGCTGCCCCTGCATTTTGCAAACATAGCTGTAAATTTCCAAGGCTCCAAGGGGAGCTGCCCCTGCATTTTGCAAGCATAGCTATAAACATCCAAAGCTCAGGGGAGCTACCCCTGCGTTTTGCAAACCTAGCTGTAAACCAACAAAGCTCAAAGGGAAGCTGTCCCAGCATTTTGCACACATAGTTGTAAGCATCCAAGGCTCCAAGGGGGGCTGACCCTGCATTTGCAAACATAGCTGTAAACATCCAAAGCTCCCAGGGGAGCTGCCCCTGCATTTTGCGACCACACCTGTAAACATCCAACTTCAAAAGCTCCCAGGGGAGCTGCCCCTGCAGTTTGCAAGCATAGCTGTAAACATCCAAAGCTCCAAAGGGGAGCTACCCCTGCGTTTTGCAAACCTAGCAGTAAACCTACGAAGCTCAAAGGGGAGCTGCCCCTGCATTTTGCAAACATAGTTGTAAACGTACAAGGCTCCAAGGGGAGCTGCCCCTGTATTTGCAAATATAGCTGTAAACATCCAAAGTTCCAAGGGGAGCTGCCCCTGCATTTGGCAAACCTAGCTGTAAACCTACAACGCTCTGAGGGGAGCTACCCCTGCATTTTGCAAACCTGGCTGTAAACATCCAAGCCCCAAGGGGAACTGCCCCTGCATTTAGCCAACATAGTGGTAAACATCCAAAGTTTCAAGGAGTGCTGCCCCTGCATTTTGTCCGCACAGTTGTAAACTAGTTAAAGCTCCAAGGGGAGCTGCCCCTGCATTTTGCAAACATAGCTGTGAACGTCGAAAGCTCCAAGGGGAGCTGTCCCTGCATTTTGTCGCGTAGCTGTCAACTAGCTAAAGCTCCAAGGAGAGGTACCCCTGCATTTTGCAAACGTGGCCGTAAACATACCCAGCTCCAAGCCCTTTTTTTTTTTGTTTCTTCCTCGCAAACATAGCTGTAAACATACCACGCACTAACGGGAGCTGCCCATGCTTTCTGCAAGCATCGCTGTAAACGATTACATACAAGGCTCGGAGGGGAGTTGCCCCTGCTTTTTGCAAACATAACTGTACCAGGCCCCAAGGGGAGCTGCCCCTGAATCTTGCAAACATAGCTGTGAACATACAAAGCTCAAAGGGGAGCGGCCCCTGCGTTTTGCAAACATAGCCGCAGCGCCGGGCATAACGCCACCCAGGCGAGGTGCGCTGCCCCTGCCTTGACCAATGCCGCCGCAAACAACACGCGCAAAGGGGCGCTGCCCCTGCATTTGCTCGCATAGCCACCGTATCAGACCGCTGGGTCAGCCGCCATATCAGACCGCTGGGTCAGCCGCCATCTCAGACCGCTGGGTCAGCCGCCATATCAGACCGCTGGGTCGGCCGCCATATCAGACCGCCGTCAGTTGCCATATCGGACCGCTGGGTCAACTGCCATGTCGGGCCGCCGGGTCAACCGCCGCATGGGCTAGGGGCGCTGCCCCTGCCTCTGCCACAAACAGAGCTCAAAAGGGAACCACCCCTGCATTTGCTCGCACCGCCGCCGTATCAGGCCGCCGGGTATTCCGCCGCACAGGCGATTACGAAGGGGAATCGGCCCTGCCTCCGCTAGTACAACTGAATAAGCAGCATGGGCCAATCGCCCTGCCCGCCTTGTGCGCATAATGTGTGAGTGTGTGTGTGTAACGCACATACGCGTGTCTGCAATATGCCCTGCGCGGTCGTGACGGATTAATCCGTCGCACCTCGGGTAAAGTGTTAATTACTGAAAGTAAGACAAGGTCGCCAGCCCGCCAACACCGGCACTTACTGCCGGCTCGCCGTGGTATCTAAACAACAATGGCAACAGCGACGACAGCCGCAAGGAAAAAGATAACAGCTCGCCATGTCCAAACAAAGCCCCAAAACAGCAAAGTAGACCCCACATGCTGAGACTTGGTGTAATGCCGCCTAGTATGAGTAGGAAGGGGAGGGGAGCGACAGCACTTAGAGGCGAAGCAGGGTGAGGGATGGAGGAGAGGAGGATAAAGAGAGAGAGAGAGTATGTGTGTGTGTGTGTGTGTGTGTGTGTGTGTGTGTGTGTGTGTGTGTGTGTGTGTGTGTGTGTGTGTGTGTGTGTATGTATGTATGTGTGCATGTATGTATGTATGTATGTATGCGTGTGCGTGGGTGTGTGTGTGCTTGCGTGCTTACCCATGTGTGCTGAGAGAGATAGACTACACAGCGAATGAAAAAGGAGGCACGCATTGGTTGAGAAGAGGTTCAGCCGGTTTGCTGCCATGATTAGTTGCCCCCGCATAGCATGAGTTCGGGACTAAGCCAAGTCCAGCAGCTGGATTAGGGAGCCGATGAGAGGAAATGGACTAATCGTCCGCGTGAAAGAGCGTCCGCAGCGGAGTTGTCCGTGGCCGTAATATGGGTAGTCAGCGAGATAAAGCCTTGTGTTCTGCTACCGTGCGGGGGCTGAAGTGGGCTAGTTCCGTCACGGTTGGATTTCGGCGAGTCCCGGATTTCAGACTGCTCCAACTGCCTTTTTGTCGCCGTGCAGTATGAATTTCTTGTCGGACTACTTAGGGCCCCAGAGGGCGTAAGCTCGTGTTGCAAGGCGCGATGGTTCTGAAAGTCTGCCAGGCCTCGACCCAGTAGATTAGAGATTCAGTTTTTCTCTTGTCAGAAGAGGAGCCGCCAATGACAATTCCACTCAGTGATTGCCATCGGATTGATCGATTTTAACACGTTTGGCTGCTGGCTGCGTGTGGGCAGGACAGGAAGGAAGCATTGTGGCCAGCTCGAAGTATTCCGCACGCCGTATTGTCCTAATCGTCTCCCGTGCGCCAACACATGCGCCGGCCGGCATCATAGCGCCTCCAAGGAACTCAACTAGACTGGTCATGCACGACAGTGTCCATGCCTGCATTTTCGGCCGGCATGCTCATCGCCCGAGGCTTGTTGGTCAGGGCCGACGCTGCCGTCGCCGCGGTCTCAAACGAGGAATACCAGCGATCCGCTGCTGAGTAGGATCCATGCTCAGGTACGGGTATAAACCATGTAAACCAACTAGCTTTAGAGCAAACGAGAGCAAAAAAATTCTGGCCTTCTGCAAGCAATAGCAAGTAATGAGTGACGGCTGTGTAAAGTCGCACAACTATGCAGTCGACCGGATGATGGTGAGTGTCCGGCACACATCTTGCTCTGCTGCTCCACCTGCGCATACCTGATACGGTGGTGCGCTTACGGGCGGGCTGCCTGGGCCCCAGATGCCTCCTTGATGCGCCACGGAGTGCCGTCGAAGCACCTGTATCACTTCGGTGATCCAAATGCGAATGCAGCCTTGCCGGTCGCCCGCCGGCCTGCCGCTTTTGTAGCTACGTGACCAGCCTGAGACTGGCCCTGCCGCATTTGGCGCTTCTAAACGCTGCGATCCGGTAGACAGCTCACTGGGCTGCCAAATACGTGACTGGCTTGAGGACAGTTCCATACTGGGCAGGGCGCCCAGCTCAGGTCGCACGCCGTCGCGGCGTGAGCTGGGCGCGGTGAGGGTTGGTGATAACTACAGTTTCCTCCTTCCTCCTCCGGAAACTTCCATTAATATCGATTTCTCCCCGGGTGTCGAGCTGCACAGTTTCCTCCAGTCTGTCTTGTCTGCTGCTTGTTGTCGGCACCTGGAAAAGGTCGTAGTAGGAGTAACTATTAGTTATATAATAATTACATTGCCTGAGTTTCTTTGGATTAGACTTTTTTCAAATTTTCATTTTGATTTCATCGTCGAGTTTCGTCCCTTGTATCTTTGGTGTTCTTCCTTCTTTCCATGTCGTATTGTTTGAATAAACCCGTTTTGAGTAGGAGTAAGGCCCAGGACAAATGGGGTTCGTTCAAAAGCGCTTGTACGGTGTCTTCAAAGGCGATCAAGCCTACAGAGTGCTGCACTTGCTGCCTCAGCATTAGTACACACTCTTGTAGACCATGCATGGTAGACTGCTATGCCACCAAGATCCCGCGCCGTATGCGGTCCACCACTACTGCACTATTTTTGTAGTCGTCTACCAGGTCTACTTCAAGTACTTGTCATCCTACTCGCCCACATGTGCACCATTTCCGCCACCATGGCATGATTGTACAAGTAACATGTAGATCTACCACGCAGATCTACGAGTCGTCGATATGGTGATGTTGGGCATAGCGCGCTAGCACTAGCGGCGCGGTGTCACACTGTCCTTGCAAAAAATGTAGTTTTGTAGATCTACCAGGGAGTCGTATAAACCAAGTAAGTATTAGTTAGTTGCCTGTTTAGTGTTTGTACGAAGATCAACGGACACAACGGTAGATCTACGGGTCGATTTACCATGCTCACGGCTGTGTCGATGTCATCGATCGATCGGCGACGATCAAAACGCGGTGCACCTTTTGCCTCGGACACGGCCCGTAGCAGCCGCCGACCGTTGTTGTGCTCTTTTCTTTCTTTCTTTCTGTCGATCGTTCTGTCAGCCGAAGCTGAATGCGGTTTTCACGTGTAGTGACGACGGTAGTATAGTAGCCACTCACTCGTACCGTTACGTTAGGAACTGAGCTGACTGACCTGAGGCTGTGTAGTACCCAACACGGCCCGAGGAGATTTCCACGTAATTGCACTCAAGCAGCACAAGCGGGAAGACGCCGAACCGTCGGCTCAGCCATGAGCGGGAGCGGGAACACAGCGCACGACAGACCGGCTAGTAGTCCCGGTGAACTCAGTACTGAAGCCCGCACCGACAGTCATGCCGGGCAAATAGAGAGTGCCGAGTCTGCAGCGGCAGCCGCGTCCACGACATCTGCAGTGGCCGCCGCAACGCGTCCAGAGAACACGATGTCGGTGGCTGCTGTCGTGACCAGTCCAGCCACGGAAACCACCAAGATAAAGATCCCCGTCAAGATTTCCTCGGCAACCTCCAGCAGTCCAGTGCAGTCAGTGGTGGGACTGGATGGAGGGACAATCGATGCTGTCAGTCCAGCCAAGACTCTACGTCACGCTGCCAATACTCCGCCGACTACAAGTACAAGTCCAGTAACAGGTACTCCGTCGAAAAAGTCGAAAACAAGGGCCAGCGCTCTTGGCTGTGGTGGCAGTGCAGTAAACAGAAGGCAAAGCACTGATCGTGTTCGCCCCGAGCTCATCGCACACTCCCTAGAGTTAGACGGTGCGAGTGTAGATGAGAACTGGGAGCATCGGGTTTTGGACCAACTGGAAGGGCTTACTGTAAATGGTACGAAACCTTCACCACCGGAACTACTGTCAATACAAGCGGAGCTCAAGCTGAGGATGTACAAGGATGTCAAGAAAGCCTGGAGTAAAGCTAAAGCCGAAGAGGCAGCGAGCCTAGAGCGTGTGTCGGAACCGCCCGTGCCGGCATTGCCGAAAGCGGCCAGTGCACATGGTAACCATAGTAACCATTACTATGCTGGTGACGAGGAACTAAGGAGACAACGGGCTGCACAAAGTGCACGCGAGTGTTTTGCATGTGGTTGGAAACAAGGGCACACTGCCGACACTGAAGAAAGGACACACACAAAGCGACTCATGGACTCTGACTTTCGAAGGCAGTCATTTCACTATCCGAGTAACATACAGCGACAGAGAGAAGTTAGCGAGAGGCACTTGAAGAGCCTGAAACATCTATCAGCCACTTCACAAAGCCTTATGACTCCATTCCAGTTTTACGAATGGCAGAACGAGATGAGACAATCGTCTATCGATGCAGCACAGGAGAGAGTAAGCCAACAGAAGGTAATGGGTGGTATAACCATGGCCCCGGCGGCAGCATCTCCCAGAAGTACCAGCAGTGGTGTTAGAAGTGCATCGAGTCCATGCACCGGTCCACTGTCAGTGTACCAGGTAAGGAGAGTCTAGCATTTAAATTTCTTTTTCATGTCTGTAATCTGGATGGATGCAGTGAATGCAGTGGATGCAGTGAATGGGATTTCGGTCTTTGACCACTTTGTGGTGGGTCTGATCTACTCACCTCCCACCGCTTAGGAGCTGCATCTGCGCCTTGATCCAAGAGGGTGGTGGCGTTCCTGCGGATGCGGAAAACTGGGCCTTTGGCCGAGTCTCACGCGAACCGTGAATTTTTTTTTTTTTTTAAATCCGGATGGATAAGCCTTGGTTGGTGAAATAGTACTTGCCTGCTTCAAGTTTGATTCCCTCTTTGTGCAAAGACATACTGCTTACAGGGGACCCAAACTGTGGATTCAGCACTCGGGGGGGGGGGGGGGGGAGCATCATCTGCACTGCACTGAGCATCTAAACAAGAGAGCTGTTTTTTTCTGCTGCTGCTGCTGTTGTCGACATCGTCATTATTGTTGTTGTATTTTATTTGGGGTCCCAACTGACTCTAGTTGTCAAGCAGAGTCCCCAAGGAGTTCAGTACGTGTCATGTTTCTGCGGGGTGTTGATCTTCTGCATCTGGGCACTTTTATAATTGACTCATGACTGTCGGCTTTGTCTCAAGTTGACCTGAGTTACAGTTTAGGGTTGGCCAACGAGCTACTGTGGCTGTTTTCAAAGGACAGTCCCACAATTTGAAACATAGCAGCCACAATCAATGTCTGTCAATGGAGCAGCACAACCGAGTTTCCCAAGGGTATCCAATCTTGACACTGCTCCTTCGAAGATCTAGCTGGTATTTTATTTAGTCTGGTTTTGTAATTGATATACTATGCAGCACTCCGACAGTGATAATATTGTTGCTACTGCTGGGGTGGACAAATAGGAACATGGTTACTTGATCAGTCACCAGTTGGTCACGAGTGTTTCAGAAATGTTGATGGAGCTGTAAATGGTGAGGGTAATTTCAGGTTTCACTAGTTGCATGCTGCCCTCTGTCTGTACCTGCTTGTCCATGCCTGTGTACATAGACGGATTACAATGACCAAACGGTAAGTCATCTCTTGACAAGTGGACGGCTTGAAGCGTGGGCGGCACGTAACAGCAGTCATCGTCAAAACGAGTACGTGGACTTCCCGAAACTGCGTCCGCACCGAAAGCAACCAATACCGTCAGCCTACCTCCAACGGAATTTAGGCACCAACGTCGACCTATTCCTGTTGGATGTTATCAAGTCACCGCGCAAGCAAGCACACGTTCAGTCGAAAACTGGAAGTAAAAAGACAAGACGTAGAGTTGATCGCCGGAGTCTTGATTATCCAGCTGAATACTTAGATCTTTGTGCACCTGACTTCCGGTGAAATCACTGACGGCCCGGCCATTGTCTTGGAAGAGAAGACCAGATTGCTGATTTGTCACCAACAGTGCATCATGCCCCGTTCCTGCCTTTGATCCTGCACCGACTGGCACATGTATTCACCATTTCAACCTGGCCTTGCACAGCATGCATTGCAGTCACTGCATGACTTGTACAACACTGTTGACTGCCCTGTACTGGCTGTAGTACTGTGGTGACACGGTGTAACATGCTTACACACATTGGCTGATAAGCATTCCAGTCAGTGTTATCACAGCAGCAGCTACTTGTATTCATGCCATGCTGGATACACAGTGCTACAATGGGAATCAATGCTCACTCTCACCTGGGTTTGTGTTGCAAATAATTTGAATGGACAGAATAGAACCCTAGAACCCGGGAACCAGGGACCTGCAATATCAATATCAAGTCAGTGTTGGACTGGGATGCACAGACTGCAGTGCTGTGGCTAGCATTAACAATACCCGTCTCACCTGCCAGTGCTGAACTGTGATAAGTTTGTTTAACTCCCTTCATCATGGCAATGGTGCAGTACAGTGTACTACAGTGCCTGTGAGCTTCTCTCCATCTTCACCTGCTCGTATGTTTTCTAATGTGCTGGTACCAGTAGGACGGGTGACCCTGTCTAGCATGCCTGTACAATTTTATTTTGTCAGCTGGTGGCATTGCATGCCTTGGAAGTCCAACTCCTGTAGTTTGCTCTTTCCTCATCTTGCATCCATTACCAAACTGTGTCTTGCACCTCTTGGCTTAGTGATGAGAATTCTAGTCACAGTCTATAAGTATAACAGTAAGGTACTGGTAGTTCTGTATCATGCCATTATTTATCATTGTCACACTCACTTTTGTTCATGTACAAAAACATGGTTAAAGAAAAAGGAAGATGTTCAAACTGACACCATATTTTGCACATCTTGGCTACATCATGAGAGAGAGATAGAGAGGGCACTATGATTACTAGCGCAGCCGTTGCTTTCTTATTTCTGTTGTCTTTCATCTCCAGCCTTTTCGGGTTCCTTGCACAGACTGTCAGTGGTACAATGATTGCCTGTGACAACATGGACCTTCAGCAAACAATAATGGATTACTTGACTTGCTTGCAGCCTCAGACTAGTCAGAGACATTGGCCCTCCGGCATTTCCGGATGTTTTGACGTGGAAAATGGAACGGCGCGTGTCATGAGTTTTGAAATTGTTTGCATGTACAATGTACATTTGTACATGCACATGTGCATGTACAAATGTACAATGTACATTTGTACATGCACATGTGCATGTACAAATGTACATTGTACATTGTACATGACATACATAATCTTGCATTGCATACTTACTGGCCATTACTGTGTAGGGCACACAACACCATGTAGCATGGATACGCCCGTCGCAAGAGAAACACGCAAATCTGGAAATGCACTGGAAGTGCACCCACAGATGTTCTCTAGTTATAGCGGCAATAGCGGACAAGATGTTATTGATTGATTTTTATCTTTTTTCGCTGACCAAAAGGGACAAATACGGTATATCCAATAACAATGGGGCGATTAAGGTGAGGCACAGTGCCATAAATTTATGAAGAGAGTAAGAGTGAGTGTGTGTGTGAGAGACAGACAGACAGGCAGACAGACATACGAACACGCAGAGAGAGAGAGAGAGACAGAGACAAACGGACAGACAGACGGGCAGACAGAGGCAGAGACAGAGAGAGATAATTTTGGTAGTGGTGTGGTGATTGTCACTGAGGGTGGAGACTAAAAATAGAGAAGCAGAGGGAAAGGAGGTGACTACTGATCTGTCATTGAAGTGAGTAGGGAAGGACTGCCAAGCGAAACTGTGAAGCCGACGACGCGATGTATCTTAGTGCAGGTATTATTGCCACTAGAGTTGAACCTTGGTGTGAGTGATAGAATATGTACCCTGCACTGCACCGTGACCACTGTGGCACTGACCAGGTGACTGCGCAAGAGAACGTGACCGCTTATTCAACCATGTTCGATTGGGAATAAGGGCCTAACGCTGCATCACAGCCTTCTCGGACCAAAAACAGTCGACTCAGCGTCCAAAAGACTACAACACATGGGCCAATCGCGTTCATCCGTGCTTTTATAAGAACGAAGTGGCGCTTTTAGTGACATTTTGCATACAAATCCCCATCTAGTAGGGTGCAGTCACCCAGTTTCGGTGGAAGTGGCGAGTGCGATTGGGAATAAAGGAGGAAGGGAGCGTCTCAGTGTCCTCGGACCAAGGCCATTCGACTCAGCACCCCGAAGACTACAACTGGAGGCTGGGGAGCTTTGCATGATGGAGGGGGGAAACTGTGGTGAACTGGTGCAAAGAGGGGAATACGAAACCTGAGGCGCGCGGCGTTTAATTCTCTCTAGTGTGTCCCGCTGTTGTTTTGTGGTGTTGGAGAGGGCAAAACTGCCATGTTCAAGAACAGGTCGGATGTATGTTGTATACATGTATTATACAACTATTGATAACAGGCTAGACGGCTGGTTCATTGTTCCACATGTCTTGTGGAGTTGTCCGTTGGTGTTGTTGGTGTTGGCTTTGTTGGCAGTTTGTATGTTGTGTTGGGTCCAGCGCAGATCGCCTAGCAACGACATACTCGACACAACACACACACACAGACACACACACACACACACACACACACACACAACACCCATGCACACATACACACACACATAAAATGAACACAACAACAACAACACGCACACGCACACGCAGATGTGAGTTCGGCTGAGTGGGCAAGGGGCTGGCTCACAGTCATAATCGGCACTGTGGAAGTACAGTTACTTACAATCCCTGACATTCACCATAACATACTGATCTACAACTGACTATGCAAGCTGCAGTGCGGCCTCCACTTGGAACATAGTAATGACATGGTATGGGTACCAAAATAGATTAAAAAAATACTTCAGTAGATCAAAAATTCAAAATCGTGTCGAACTGCAGTACAAATTACAATGCAGTACAGTACAGTGCATGCGCGTGGCCTATTTCAGTATTTGTTCGGCACTACTACATGTACATGTAGCTGGAACAAGAGTGGTGTCAGTCTGAGTTCCAGAGCCTAGCAGAGTACTAGTACTAGTAGTAGTACACTACACCGGACCCAAGACGGCAAGAGGCTCTTGTATCCCACAGCACCCTACCACTCCACACGTGTACAGTGCTGGCATATCACCCTTGCTCCTTTCTTCTTTTTCAAGTATTTCCGCTAGAACCGTTCGGCTTTGTTTTGGTTTTCTTTTACCGAGTCCTGATTACTTCAAAATATGTACAACTTGTACACGTCCACACGGTGACACGGTGTAAACCTTACATAAGAGTGTGATGACCGTTCCAATCCCAGAAAAAGGAGTGCCCGGGGATTGGGTGGAGGAGCCAGCATCCTTCTAGCGTAGTTGTTGCCCGAACGTCCGGTGCCCCAGAACTAAGTTACTTGGCAG